TATAAATTTCAAATACGCACAGAACAATACTATATATTTTTTATGAATAGGGACATATGTAGTTTATTGAAAACATACATAGGGATAATGAAGTACCAGATTCAGGATGGTGGTTACCTGGCGAAGATAGAGTTTGAGGTGGGAAGGACACAAGGGACTAAACTACCACATGTCATGTGCCCCTGTTGTAAAATTAGGTTTTTTTTAGAAAATTTATTTATTCATGAGAGAGGGGGAGGGGCAGAGGGAGGGGGAGGGAGAGAATCTCAAGCAGACTGTGCTGAGTGTGGAGCCCGACGCGGGGCTCGATCCCATGACCCTGAGATCATGATCTGAGCTGAAATCAGGACACTCAATTGACTGAGCCCCCCGAGGTGCCCCGTAAAATATTAAGACTTGATAAAAGTGAGTGGAGGGTGTATGGCTGCTTGTGTAATGCTCTCTAGGTTGTGGGTATGAAATCTTCCTCGTGCGTACACACACCGATGGTGATGGGGTAGAGGTTGCCTGGGCAAAAGCAGCTCTCCCCAAGAAGCCATGGGAAACTCTTCACCATGGTGGATGTAACGTGGTCCAAGGTTTGACCCTTATCTTTGCAAACCCAGAAATTTTTGCTTTTTGCTTGTTTATTTGCTCCCCCCACCCCCCGCATGCTTTGCTTTGTTGCATTGCCAGCAAACCAAAGCTAGATTTGTCTCTCAGCGGCAGACTCAAAACGGAATTCACAGATTGAATGAACCCAGAATGCCAACTTAATAATTTGTAAAGAGGAATACATAGGACAGCAGCCACTCAGCCTTGCCTGAGCCGGTGGTGTTTCCCCCTTGAGCTGCTCCACGGGAAGCAGAGACATGGCTGGAGGGTGACTTGGGGGCACGTGGTGAGAAGTGTCTGCTGCAGAAACTAACATCCAAGGTTCCCGTGGCCAGAAGATTTCCTCCAACGCAGGATTCCAGCTTGTAATCAGGATACAGGCTGCGTGTTATGCTCAGGGTCGTGGGGTCTACACATCCCTCTTTCGGGACTGGCTGGAAGCACCCCGCGGGCTTCACAGAGGGGCTGAGCATCTCTGAGGCTGGGAGACCAGAAAATGCCGACGTGGGCTTGACATGGTTTGAAATGTTGCTTTTTTATCTTTTAAGGTGTGTATATTTGCCATCCCTTCCATCATAGAAGCCAGTCTTTATGCTGACATAGAGTAATGCTTAATTACTAATTTAATGACTAAATTAATTACTAGTCAGCCAACGTGGTTGGTATTTTCCTTACAAAATCTGAGTTGAATGGGCATTTCAGGGAGACGGAGCATATTCACCCAGTGTTTCTTCATTCCTGTGCCCCTCCGTTTGGCCGTTATGCCCGTCTCACTAAGTGTGGCCTTGCTCTGCACATTGTAGATGTTCTGGAACTCTCTTTTATTGAAGCCTGCTTCTCCATCCCCCACCCTTCCATCCACTGAGCTCTTCTCGCGGACCTCGGAACCCTTCCTCCCCCGAGTGACCGTGCGGTCCTCCCCCAGATCGTCGTGTGCATTAGTTTGTCTCATGCCCGTCACATCGGCCTCAACTCCAAGTTCCTGGAGAAAACTCCATGCTAACCGCCACGTGCCAATGACAGGCACTGATCATGCACAACTACCAAATGCATATTACACCCCTGACTTATAATTATAGTGGCCTTTCCCATTTTCAAAGGTGTTTTTTCATACATTTTTATTTGATTTTTCCGGTAACCGTGCAAGATTATGAGAGCCATGTTCGCAGATGCCACAGTCGGTAACCAAGTCTACCACAGGCCCTTTGCGGAAATACTAGGCCAGCCAGGATGGTGGTGAGCTGTGGCATGCTGGGGGTGGAGTAGAAGACATACATTATTCAACTCCTGCATTCTTAAACAGAGCCCCTAGCTTCCCAGCGCATTTGGGGATGCAGCTGAAGAGGTGCTTTGGGTTCTTTGATCAACTTGATGATCAACCCCAAATATAACCCCCGCATCAGAACGACTCTGCCCCAGAGACAAGTTCATTCTTCAGAAGGGCTCAGGAGCACATGGTGGTTGAGATCAGCCGTTTTTTCCATTCCAGCCACTCAAGAGTTCAGTTATTGATAGCCATGTGGTCGCAGAGAAATTTTAAAACTAAACTCAAGACTTAAAAAAGAAAACCTTTGTGTCCAATTTTTCAAGTCTGCGTTTTACTGGGTAGGAAGTTACCAGAATGACCACTCTGCTACCAGACCCGTGGAGACTCAGGCCAGCTTGTGGCCCAGGGCCCTGTCTTGCGTCCCGGGCATCCCACGGCTTCCAGTTAGCGTCGGCTGGAGACCCGTCCTGCCACGGACCTGAAGGACGCTGTGGTTCGTCCTCCGTTCCCCAAGAAAGCTCCAGTAGGAACGTGCCCCCGGCAGCCAAGTCCCCCGATGAGCTGCTATATCGGGCCTTCTTTCACTCACTCTACAGTAGTGAAGACTGGGTGGCACGGTTAGGAGTCTTTAAATGCAAGATTTATTCTGTTTCTTTTTAAAGAAATTCTGCACTCCCCCCTCCCCCTTCTCTTGGCTCTGAGTGAAGAGTTCGGATCTGAATCCACACACGTCCGTACACACATACACTCTTAGCTCATGGGGTGTAAGATAGTTCTCAGTTTTTGCTCGTTATCCCTCTTTGCCTTAAAAATGTGATGCCTCTTAAAAATGGCATGCCTCCTGACTGCCAAGCCCTAGCAAAACTTGGTGCCTTATGAATATGCAGAGGAGTTTTCATAAAATGATGTGGCTGCAGCAGCCCTTTGTGTTCTGGAAAAAAACATTTCCAGGGGCCCCTTGAGACTTCGCCCGGGCTCGTGGAGAACGAGGCTTCCCGAAGAGAAGAGGAAGCCGGGAGAATAGGGCATGATTGGATTGTTTAAGTGGACGATGATTCGAGGAGGAAAAGTGCTTCCCTGGTTGAATCCATCCGTGGCCGCGCTGCCCCCCACTGGCCTGGGGGGACCCTCACTGCGGAGGGTATCGCTCTTCCGATGCTGCTCGTTAGCATTACGGATTGAGTCCCGGGGAAGGACTATCTTCGGGAATTTGTTTACAACTGAACCTTGCACACCCTTCCTTAATCCAACAATTGGCTAATTCTTAAAATTGAAAGAAAAGGAGTAACAGCAAAACTAGCCTATCCGTCTACTTGTCATTAGAGACTCGGCTGTCGGGAGCCATAATGAGGTACCATATTAATTCCAGAATGTGTTTTTGTCCCCCGGACGACAGTGACGGTTAGATTATGCAGTTTTCTCATGTCAGTGAAAGTCAGCCTATCCAGATAACCAGAATAAGTAAAAGAAGTCCGTTTTGTGATTCTGAATTAATTACTTCTTAATTGCACTGCTTTTCTCGCTCCTTTTCGAAATTTGCTTCTCTGAAGTCATTTTCCCAGTCAGGAGGGAAAATTAGTGTCTGTGGGCCATTTTCCTTTCAGATGTCCCCGTTTGTGTGGAATTGCTGGCCATTGTCCGTGAGCTGCTCGCTCAGCCACTTGAGTCCTTAACTGCTTAAATGCTTTTAGCCATGGCTGAGCTCCAGAGATGACTTTATTTTAAGAAATCTGTCTTCTTTTCCCACTGATTTGCCATTTAAGATAGAGGCCTTTAATTCTGGAAGCCGATCCCTCATAGCCGCGGTAAATGGCGTTAAGAGCTAACAGGTAGAACAAGGTTTTTAAAGTGGATTGGCATCATGGAAGGTTTCCAGCTGCTTCCGTGCGGGTGGCAGTATGCTTCACTGCATGAAGTGTGGGGACAGTCTGCAGATCACAGAGGCCAGCAGGGACGGACCTCGTGGTGGGCGCCCAAGGACAGGTCCCTACCCTGCTACAGGCTCCCAGCAAAAATCTTTCACTCTTTGGACCTTGGGTATAAAAAGACTGTTCCAGAACGGTTTCTCTCAGTGCAAAGAGGCTTTACTGTCTCCCCAGCCTTTTTCCCAAGCGGGTGTCCGTGGTACCACCATTTTGGGGGAAACTCTCTAAATGCACTGAAACCCCAAGGTGATGGTTGCCTCACGGTCCTAACAGGCTGCAAGCCCGCCCCAGATGTATTGCTCTGTGTCTGGAACCATCACCTCCATGCTCGCGTGTTCTCCAGATCGACGGGGCCTGCCTTGGAGGCTCCCTTATGATGGTTTCTACTGAGCTGGGTCTACCTTAATGGGTCATTTCTGCCTCTAGCGTGGGATACTTTAGCGTCTTCAACCTCGAGCTGGCCGAGTCCTATTTTTTAAAAGAGCCATTCCTTGTCCTCGCGGTCTTGTGTCATTTGTGGAGAACAGACGTGAGAAGTGCCTTGTGTTGATCTGCCCATAGTTCTCCCCGCCGCCCCCCCTTCGCCCCGGACCGACTTTGTTCAGAGGCAGTCCCTGGGTTCTTTCAGTACTCCTCAGAATGAAGGGTGAGAGCGGGCGGGCTCAGGTTCCCACGGGCCCACACCCTGCCCCAGCCTTGCAGGGTGACAGACGTGTGTCCTTGCTGCCTTGGGGTGGGGGTGGGGGTGGTCGGTGGGACAGAGCCAGGTTCCAAATACAGCTTTGCCAAGAATCCCAGAAGCCCCACGTGTGCTGCAGAAATGAGAAAAGAGCATCAACACACAGTTGGCCCCACCCCCCAGAAATAACCACTGTGAATTGTGAAAAGCACATCTCTAGAGGTGTATCTGCATGTGAGAATAAATTGGACTTCACTGTTTTAAAACATGCTTTTTTTTTCTTCAGCGTTAGAAAGATGTTCTCAATATGTTACTTTTCGCCGAAATCATCTTTTAAAATGTAACTCCGGTTGTGTTTTTCTGTTTCCTTATGTCCCGTTGTCACTTTCTCTCCGAACGTGCCGGTCCCTTCTGCAGATAACCAGTTCGTCCGAGAAGGTCCACCCCAGCCGGGCGGGCTGCTTGCGCTCTCCAGAGCCTTCCCGAGACAGGTCCGGGTTCTTCGTTCAGAGAACCGTCTTTTCCCTTCCCTCAGGTGTCAGCGGAAGCAGTGGCGGGTGGACCTGCCAGCCACCAGCGTGGTGATCACGTTCCACAATGAAGCCAGGTCGGCCTTGCTGAGGACAGTGGTCAGGTGAGGGCAGGAGAGGCCCCCCGCTGCCCAACTGCTGCACCTTATGGGAGGCGTTCACTGGTAGGGGTGCTGGACACGGCCCCGCGTCCCCCGCGCACTCGGGCCAGGGCTGTCTGTTGGGGGGACAGGCGGGTCCCTTGACTGCAGCATGAGGAGTGGCTGATGGCTTCTCCGGCCAAGGATTGGGACCAGCACATGAGAATTCCCCACCCCAAATGATACCCCTTACAGGCCTCCAACCTTTATTTTTCTGTTTCCTCAGTGTGCTTAAGAAAAGCCCTCCCCACCTCATAAAAGAGATCATCTTGGTGGATGACTACAGCAATGACCGTAAGTACCATGTCAGATTCCTCCCCCATGCCCAGCCCTTCTCCTGGACGCCAGCTTCCCTTAGTGTGGGTGCTAATGATGAGTTTCCTGAAAAGGCCAGAAATCAGGGCCCGCAGAAAGAAGAGGTGCCTCCTTGATGCCCCAGGACATCCTCCACCCACAGATGACCGAGATTCACAATACTTGAATACAAAGCCCATGTAAACGGGGTTCCAAATGTTCTGCTTCTCTCTTTCCCTAGCTGAAGACGGGGCTCTCTTAGGGAAAATTGAGAAGGTGCGGGTTCTCAGAAATGATCGGCGAGAAGGTAAGACTCTTTTCTCAATTGAATACCAAGACAGTTGAATTCTGACTTTTCCCGAGCCCGGCAATAACTTAAAGAAATGTTTCAGCTAAAAGAACAATTAACTTTCTAGTCTTTTTTGTCTGTCTGTCTCTCCCAGAGCCTCTTGGGAGCCTCTCCCTGCAAAGCCTAGGGAGGACATTCAAGGCTTAATTGAAATTGTTTGTATACTAGGGCAAGAGTTCAAATTATATTTTTATTTATGTATTTAGAAAATTGGCTCCTCTCTTCCTTTTACAATCTAAGAAGTCTTATCAGTCCCTGGAGTACTAGAGTTTAGAAGAAAAACAAAGATTTAGCAATGAGAAGTTTAATGACTCCATGCTCCAGGCATCTGATAAAATAAGGTGTTCAAGTTTGACAGCCTGCTGAAGGTGAGGCATCCCAAGAAGGGAGATAGCGCTGCAATTACATGCTTATTGGATTTTGCAAATGCCAGCTTCAAAACCTGCTGTCAGTCTTATCTGCCGGAGCTGGGCTCATCGAGTCGACTTTATTGGCCAGGTATAAGAGAGACTCCAAAGGGGGAAAGTATTAGTTTGAAGTGTCTGGAAAGGAAGCTAAAACCACAATGTAATTAACATCCAGTGTATCAGTGCTGTTGGAGGGCATGGTGGCTGGCATCTAGACTCCACCATAGTCCAGAGAAACCTTTCCGTATAGGAAGATTGCACAGCTTCAGAACATGCCATTTTGGTTATTTGAGGATGTCTCTGTGGATCTGGAGTGGTGCTTGCTTTCCCTGATCAATGGACACTCTTTCTTCTGGTTCCCTGGACAGTGCGGCTGGAGTCAAGCAATGCAGTTTTTCTTAGCACGAATTTCATCCGCCATAAAGTGATTGAGCCTGTTTGGACAATGCCGTCAGCACCATATTTTAACAAACTCAGGTCATCAGTCCAGATGTTCAAGATACATAAACAGTGGGACCGGCCTTGCTCCTAAGCAAGCTCTATTTGCTGGACTCCCATCTGTCTCCCAAGCTTAGAATAAACCAAAACTTTGAGATCAGACTGAAAATCTTGCCTTATATTTGCTTCCAGACGAACTGCATAATACCTTTTTGAATTTAAACCCAAAGTGTCTGCTAGCACGGGGGGTGGGGGGGTGCGGAAGGAAGAGGTGGAAAAGAAAGACATTATTTTTCATGTCGGCATTTTATAACTGACAAATCACTTGCTAGCCTCGTCAGAGAGTGCCGTTAGCCTCAGAAATCAGTGCTTCTAAGTGCTTTAAGTTAGGATGTTCACTCGGGTAAGAGCCCATATTGACGCTTTGTTTTGGAATGGGATGAGGAGGGGCCGCTGGGGGAAGGCAGAGGGTGGCAAGTCTATATGAAACAAATGAAGTGTGCGATAGTTGAGTGAGAAAACGGACACACACAAATGTATATGTGTGCTTGGCTGTACGTGTGTGTGTGTGTGTCCCATATATTTGAACATATAGACAGATGCCTACAGTATTGCTACTAGATGACAGAGAAAATCAGTTGCATAAAATATGACAGCGAAGGAACAGCTTAGCTTCATTTAGCGCTGAGGATTTTATTGTGCCAGTGATTCTTTATCTCGCTGTTCATTAGAATCAGCTGAGGAACTTCAAAGATGACCTTGGTGGAACTCATGTGCCAAATTCTGTGTCCCTAGGATGGTTACCAGCTGAAATCTCCATTCTTTCTGCCTTCTGATCGTTCCTTTTCACGGACTGCTTGGGGTCTCTCTGTGCCTGGGGGTCAGGAGTCAGCCGAGGATTTATGGGGAGGTTATCACCAGACTGGGGGCTGACCTCCTTTCCGGGATCTCCTCCTTCAGTTTCCGGCCACTCTAGAGACCCTGGACTCTGTCCTCTGACACCGCAAGCCAAAAAGGCGGTGTTGCTGTGGGTCGTAGAGTAACCTCATGAGAAACACCACATGCATGGGCACTCCACTGGTTTTCTTCTTTTAAGAATTGAACCCCTTCCCGTTTCTGCCTGCTTCTGACTGCTATCTGGCCCTTTCCAATACTTGCTTTTTCTGTTTTGATCGGGGTTTAGAACTGTGCTCTGAGCAAGGGTTTGCCCAATACAAACTGATACTCTTGCCTTCGCAACAGCAGAACTGGAAGCCTTTGTCTCTTTTCCCTCCCGTGGCGTGTAGCTCTATAAGAACCATTGAAAACCCATTTGACTACTGTGTATGAAGGAACTTAAGACAGTGGTCCTCACTGGTTGTGAATAGTCACATCATCTTCATATAGAGTCATCCCCCTTATACGTTCCAAAACCCCCAGTGGATGCCTGAAACCACGGGTCATATGGGACCCTGGATAGACTCTTTTTTCTTATGCATACATACCTCCAACGAGGTTTAAGTTATAAATTAGGCACAGTAAGAGATTAACAACAATACTAGTAAAATAGGATAGTCATAGTATACTATAAAAAAGTTATGTGAATGTGGTCTCTCTCAAAATACCTTATCCGATGGCACTCACCCTTCTTGTCCTGACATGAGATGATAAAATGCCACGTGATGAGATGAAGTGACGTGAGGGACAGAGACCCAGTGACACAGCGTCAGGCTACTACTGACCTTCTGAGGAGACGTCAGAAGGAGGGTCATCTGCTTACAGACCGCAGTTGACCGTGGGTAACTGAAACTGTGAAAAGCGAAACCACAGACCAGGCAGGGGGTGCTGTATAGAGCCCAGCATCCATCGCAGAGGCCATATATGACCCCCCGTCCAGTGACACAGATACCACTTGTGATGAGACTTCGCGTGATCATAAAAACCCTATATTAGGAACAGGTCACAAGTATGTAAATGGTATTAATTTGACCGATAGTGCAACTAATTTTTTGTGTAAAAGCCAGTCACCTGGGGTTTGTCATGTATGTTATTGGGCTGTGCTAAGTCTTTGGAAGACAAAGATATTTGCAGCACTGTTCTCATTACATTATCACCACCAAAATTGGCTCCATCAGCCCCTGGAAGCATCCGAGTAACACCTTCCATGGCCCAGTTCATTAGAAAACCCTGTCGCTGTGTCACAGGAAAATCGTTGTAAAAGTTCCACACTTGAGTTGCCTGACAGAGGAGACTCCAGTTATGTAAAGGCCTTTCTCAGAGGGCGAGTCTAAGACAGTTGTCTTCCCGGGCACCCAGTGACCTTGGAAGAAGTCGTCCTGACAGAGCTCTGTCTTGGTGACCACAGGGCAGTACTGCCCCTCCCACCCAGGCTTGCGGGGGCGGGGGGGGTCGATGGCGGGGCTGGAGGAGCTGATCCGTGGCCTTTGTCTCAGGTACCCTGATGCGCTTTTGAAATCCCTTCCGCAGGCCTGATGCGCTCGCGGGTCCGGGGGGCCGACGCGGCCCAGGCCAAGGTCCTGACGTTCCTGGACAGCCACTGTGAGTGCAACGAGCACTGGCTGGAGCCCCTCCTGGAGAGGGTGGCCGAGGTGAGGCGCGGGGCTCACGCTGTGCGGCAGGAAGTGCCGCTTGGACATCTGTTCCTAGAGTGTTGTCTTCACCGTAGGAATCTACGGCCGGGGAGAAAAGCACTTGACAGGTTGGGTGGGGGGGCGTCTCCCGCGGTGCTTCTTGCTAAGAAACCCAGCCTGCGGGCTTGTGGTGGGACAGGTGCCCGTGACCACACCGTTGACCCGTTGAGGCTGTCAGGGTGACCCGTGGCGCACTCTGTGTACCTCTGTCTCTAGAAACATCATCAGTGGTATTACTTTTGGCCTTTTGCCATGTCTCTTGCCTTTTACTTGGTCTATTGACTTTCTTTCCTCCCTCCTGAGAAAGTGTTTCTTTGGGGTGATAAAACAAACTTAACGAAAGTACTAGAGAAATAGAGAATGAACAAGTCATGCCTTTTACAAGTCAAGCGTGACAAGGACATAAACAATGGACAGTAAGTCATGAAATACTAACTAGCCACAAGCTACTAGTAATTACCATATGACAATGATGTTGATCTTGTACACTAGCAGTTGTTGATAGGATGGAGATATCTAGTGCTCTTTACTAACCGCATGTTAGGCACATTACCAATCACCTTTAATCCAGGTATTACCCCCATTTGACGCATGAGGGACTTGGGGTCCAGGGAACTTAACACATCCAAAATTCATATAGGAGGCAGAGCCAGGGCGGCCAAGAATGTTCGAGCCCATCCCTAACTGAGCCCTCTTACACATCGCACCCACCTAGCTGAAAGAGGAACCCCCCGGAATCTCCGCCCCACCTCTCCCGGGCCAGTCCCCACAGCCCCAGGCTGTCCCCCAGGGAGGCAGAGGACACAGGGAAGCCATGGCCCAGATGCTAGCACGTGTGAAGACCCCATGTGTCCACGGCGGAACTGCCAGAATTATTTCCAGTACCCTCTCCTCAAGTAAGGATGGAAGGCGTGGAAAATTGTAATTCTCACTAGTTCCAGTCCTATCAAAAGAAGTCAAAACAAAAGAAGTGGACTGAGAATTTGAGCACATTATATGTTCTTTGACTCCCACGCCCAGGTCCAGACGGAGCCGGGCAAGGAAGATCGGATTCTCCGAGCTCAGTGCGCTGCACGGGGGTTTCTACCCTGTAAACTTGCACCTGGGGGGTGATGGAACTTTATACTCTTTTCTTACGTGTTCCTCTGATGTATTCTGTTCTTAGCTCTGCAGATTCTGTTACTAATTTGTTTTTCACAGTCTTTCTTCTGGTTAACGCGGGTTCTGTAAATGGCTCGAGGAAAGCATTTACTCTTTTGTTAACTAGCCGCATGGGGCGATGCCTCTCACCAGCATCAAGCATCTGATTTTAAAGAGGGCAGGAAAGTTAAAAGGCCTTATGTTCACAAACCACCAGAACAATAACTGTGGCAAAAAGAAACGCCTCCAAGGGGGAAAAATGCTTTGTCGGGTAGACTCACAGGGGAAACATACTTCGAATCTGGGATTCTCGAGTTGACTTGGGTTACCTTCAGCTGTAATGATAACCATGTGCTTCTCATCACACATACCTCAGGCCCACAGAAACAGATTCCTAGCATCGTGGCGTGGCTGTCTCAGCCGGGCGTCCCTTCCCGAGCTTGACCGCAGCTCACAGGATAGGATACGTAAGGACAGCTGAGCTTCGATTCTGTCAGAAGGAAAGCAGCCCCGTGCTGGGAAGTTTTGGCATTTGGGGAAACAGAAAAGAACGCTGGGGACACACAGGTGCAGGCCTCGCCATCAGCCAGGGCAGCAAACGCCAGAGGTGTCCCGTGGCCACAGCTGTCGGCTCTCAGGGAGCGATTCTCTCTGCCCCCCCCACTGCCGACCTTGGTCGGCACAGAACAGACCCCGTCCGTGACAGTGAGGGCGGGGCGCGTGGGATGGGGAGCCCCCCAGCCTCCGTCTCCATGGGCCTGGGCGCTGGCAGGTGGTGAGAGGGGCGGCGGGTGTCCGTGAAGCCGCCGGACACCGATGCCTGCCTCCAGTGGGGTGGGATGCTCTGTTTTGTTTGTGATACCGACTCCCGTCTTTTGTCAATTTGTTTTTCAGGACAGGACTCGGGTCGTGTCCCCTATCATCGATGTCATTAACATGGACAACTTTCAGTACGTGGGGGCGTCCGCTGACCTGAAAGGCGGTAGGTGCCGCTCCTGGTCCGGCCTGCCTTGCTCTGGCCGTCTGCATGGCGGCTGATCACTGCTCCCACTCGGTGTCACGAGGGACAGTGACAGCAGCTTGCTCACTGCCAGCGCACGTGCCGCGAGCAAAGGGCGTCTCATGCCCGACAAGTAGAATCTCATAAAGAGAGAGAAAAATGGCCTTCTTTCCCTTAAAGAACTTCCTATGCTTCCTGTTCCCCTCTTATCTCTTTGACCTTCTGTGGCTGTGATGACATGTGTGGCTTAGGACACAGTTTCGATGTCATTTTTAATCGGAGAAGATTAAGCCTTCCCAAGTCGGAGTCTGGGACGAGGCGTCGCCAGGGCTGACAGGCGGTCTGTGGTGAGCATCACAGAGCCTGGGGTTTGTAGCCTGAGAGGGCTGGGCTTGCCTTCTTCCTCTCTGACACCAGCTCCCCTGACAGCCTGCGTCTCCCAGGTGGCAAAGCCCGGGTCAGCTAGGTCATCCCCGGCTCCCGCTGACCACCCAAGCCCACTCGGCACCCCTACACCTGGCTTGGTTGTGGACCCCTCCTCCCCACCCTGCTGACCATCCACATCCTGCTTCGAAGGGCCACACCAGCTTCCTGTTGGTCCTCACAGCCTCTGGATGTGCTCCTTCACACCCAGCCCCCCTGGGGCCCCACGAATAATTTGTCTCATGCTCTCCACCTTCTCAAAAACTATCAGAGGCCCCAAAGACCTTCTGTTCACATGGGCTGTATGTATCAGCATTTGCTGTATTAGAAATTAAAGCCAAGAAATTGTTAAAACACAAGACAATGCAAGTACACATCCTGTTGTCCACCAGCGTGCCAGTATCACACGTTCTGCAGCTTCTGGAAAACTCCATCATGTACTTTTGAAGGAGTGAGCATGAAAGAGGCATGTAAGGTCTTAGTGTAAATACGAAAGTAGTTTTGATGGGATAGACCCCCGAAGGGTCTGTGGACCCCCATGGGCTCCTGGACCAGGCCTGGAGAACCACTGAGCTCACATAGCGCTTCATGGTGCTGAGAGGTGCATAGGAATCACGCCGGACGCCTCGAAGGAACTGGTCACGTGACATCTGGCTCTTACTAGCTGTCCTTCTGTCCCTGGGGCCGGGGGTGGGGTGCGGAGGGCGGTGAGTGGCTGGCAGGGGCCCAGCAATGAATGCTCTGTGCTCTAAAACTCAGCTGTTTGGCAGCCACACCTCTCAGAACTCAGCTGAGAGCTAAGAGGTCAGCAAAGACTGCCCAGAGCAGCTAAAAGAGATATCAAAGCTTTTGCCTTCTGTTTGTGTAATCTATTCACTATTGATTCTTTACACCTGAGATCCATGGTTTCTTTTCTAGCTGTCCAGCACCCCAGTTGCTTCATGTGAAACAAGGGGCTTCTTTTCCCACCTTCTAACACTTGGAGCTGATTAGAGGAGGACTGACTATTCCGGACAGACACACAGACACGGGATTCACTGACAGTCTAGCGTCAAAAAAAGACCGTGAAACTATAAAATGGGGCACGACCTCAGAAAACAGAATGCTGAGACAGTCAGTGAGACTCGGGTTTTTGACCCCACCTGACATGTCACCGTGGGCTGGCCAGTTCACCTCTGTGCCTCAGCATGCCCATCTGAGAAGTGGGGAGATGGGAACGCCAGCCACAGGGGTAGTGAAAGGATGAGAGTAGCCAGCGTGAGGTCAGTGACGTGAGCAAGCAGCTCCCCCATCCCAAGGCATCAGCCACAGGGCGGTCATGGTGGGAGGACTCTCCTTACATCAGGAGATGTAACATGCAGAAAAGATTCTTAGCAAGTGATGAGAAGGTTTGGGGTTTTAAAGAGGACCAATCCCTGGTTATCAAGAACACCTTAGTGTTCAGAATGTCTTCTTCCCCCCAGGATTTGCAAGAGCTGAGATTGATGGGCTCTCTTCTCCCATAGCAGCTGCTTATTCGAGAGCCAGTGCAGGGACACAGATGCCCTGGGGCAGGGGGTGGGGGTGAGGGGTGCAGTCCTCCTGCTGGATCAGAAGAGGATGCACCACATTTAGTCTAGGAGCATTTTCTCAAATCCCTTTAGGAAAAAAAAAATCAAGGATGATGTTTTTAGCAGATTCTCAAAACCTAATAAAGTTTGTCTCTTTGGAACAAATTAATAATAATGACCGTTCAAAAAATGCAGGTAACCTTATGTCACCTGGCCCATTGAGGCCTTTGCATTGTCTGTTCATAACACAGGCAAGACGTTTATTGTTTCCCTGGTTGAGGCAGGCCCTCTGCCTCAGGGAGAGCTGGGCTCTTCAGGAAAAGCCTGTGTGGAGCCTGCCTCAGTTTCCCTTCTGTGCTGCTGTTCCTGCCACTTGGCCTCCCAGCAGCTCGCTGCTTCTTTGCTAGTCTGCCACACTTGGCAATAACAGCTGGGAGGCCTTTTTAGTCCCATGCCTCTGGTTGGACCATAAAGGATACTCTGCTGGCCCAGGAGACCCCCAGCCCACGCCTCCCATCCTGCTCTGTTCAGGCTACAGACACAGGGGCTGGCAGGGCAGTTGAAATTTGACCTCCGAGCACACTGAAGAGAAATCCAGACTTAGGCACTGCGCAAGCCCTGCCGACCAGTGAAAAGCCTGGTGGCACAGAGCTAAAGGATAGACGGCCCTGGAGTAGTTAGGTTTGGCTGTCAGACCTTTGGAAATGCAGTGAGCCACCTGTCACCAAGAAGTGGTCTCCTCGTGTGTCTCGAGAGCATCAGCAGGTGGGGTGTGCTGGCGCCCACTGGCTCGATGCGGGGTGCCTTCTGAGTAAGGGAAGACCCAACAGCTTGGGCCAGGGGCCCACAAATGTCAGAAACCGTGTCCTGAGTGACCTGTGGATTCTATTTTAGTATATGTGCTGCCGAAGCGTGCACTGCCCTGTGGATTCTAAACGTGAATTAGGACAGCTGCCGTATTTCTCAGAAATCACAGCCTGCTGCCCGCTTTGCCACTTCCTTTGGCTCGTTTTCACCTAAAAGTTTTCCCTCTGCCCCCTCGCCCCCCATGGTTTCGTTGCAGTCGAGGGCTGTGGAGGAGGCCAGGTCGGCCAGCCCAGGGAAGCTGTGCTCCTGTCCTTCCCTGTTCTTTTGCCCTGGCCGGGGGCAGGGGGGGGAGGCACAGTGGCAGATTTGACTCAGTCCCACCCGTTTTCTCCCTCCTCACAGCCCTCTGTCACCTATCAGAGTTATTCTCAGGCATTTTAATTGTAGGAAAGCCTGACCCACATTTTCTGTTTGGGGTGAGCTTTTCAGGGAAGGAGTCGGTCGGTGTATGTCCTCCCCGCTGGTCCCCCCACCCCAGGTTCTTCCCTCTCCTGCTGCTTTAGTGGTGGTGTTTTTATTTAGTTTTTTGCTGTGTGTGGTTTTCAGTGAGTCCAGTCCAAATATCAAATACATCTAAACTCTGAGGGACAGAGGTGCCAGGAACGCAGTCAGTTCTCGTCAGCACCCTAATGTTTTGTTTCTTTTCCATGGCCGGCAGGTTTTGACTGGAACTTGGTCTTCAAATGGGATTACATGACCCCAGAGCAGAGGAGATCCCGGCAAGGGAACCCGGTCGCCCCCATAAAGTAAGTGCCAGGAATCCTTCCGGGTGCCCCTCCCAGGTAAGACCCTGGCTCTGGCCCCATGTTTCCTAGAGGCGTAGTTAGACTCTTCATTTTCCTGCCCGCTGCCGACACCGTTTCCCCTGTCCTGGCTCAAGGGAGAGTTTCTGCCACCGAAACATAGAATAAAGTACTTTGAGATTTCCTCAGATGAAGCCTAACCTATAACTATAGGAGGCAGATCTATGAGTTCTGGGAGTTCCCTCACGTTTATACTGTAGAGCGGTTTCCAGCAGGGCAGGCTCTTCAAGTTGAACTCGGGGACCAGGGAAAGGGGAGGGCGGGGGAGTCCTCTCAACTGCTGCCCTTCCTGGTTGGCTTCCCTCCCTGAGCTGCCTCTGCTCTCCTGCTGGCCCACAGAAGACAGAGCTTGTAGCCATTAACACCTGGCTTTCAGAGTCAACCACCTGTAGCTGGGTGTGAATGTGGGCTGCCTCTTCAGGCTAGACATAGCTAAGTGGCAGCATTGCCACAGAATTCTGGCACTGACCACCCACACTGACTTCCGGGCACTGACTTCCCAGGCACTGACTACCCACACTGACTTCTGGGCACTGACCACCGGCACTGACCACTGGCACTGACTTCCAGGCACTGACCACCCACACTGACTTCTGGGCACTGACCACCGGCACTGACCACTGGCACTGACTTCCAGGCACTGACCACCCACACTGAACATCAGCACTGACTTCCGGGCACTGACCACCCACACTGACCTCCAGCACTGACTTCCGGGCACTGACTTCCGGCACTGACTGACCACCGGGCACTGACCACCCACACTGACCACCGGTACTGACCACCGGTACTGATCTCCGGCACTGACCACCCACACTGACCACCGGTACTGATCTCCGGCACTGACCACCCACACTGACCACCGGTACTGACCACCCACGCTGACCACTGGTACTGACCTCCGGCACTGACCACCCACACTGACCTCCAGCACTGACTTCCGGCACTGACCACCCACACTGACCACCGGCACTCGCTAGCATTTATCCAACATGACGGTGTGCTCTAGACCGCCAGCACTCGATGTTGAGTTCTCAGGCATCTCCTGGGAAAGAAGTAGGGGCTCAATTAGCCCCGTCCCAGGCTGAGCAAGCACAGCGGTGTTGGTCCCAGCTAACGGGAGAAACTGGCTCCAGGACGAGGAGGAGACTAGCTGACACTAGGGAGCATTTCCCGAGTGTGCTGAGGGCTTATACATATGGTTTTTTGAAATCCTCTAAGGAAACTGAGGCACAGAGAGGCCAAGTACTTGCCTAGGGCCGCTTGTCAGTGAGTGCCTCCAGCTCCAATGGTCACTCTCTCGAAGGGGACACCCACTCCGCGGTGGGAGTGCCTGAACAGGGCAGGTGGGAGGCATTTGAAGTCAGCAATGAGAGCAGCCCGAGCTCCAAATGGGGAGCCATGGCTGTGCTGGGGTTTTTAAGGTCAGCTTGTAGACCTGACCTTGGCATTATAATGCAGGAGATCTAACCCTGACCTCTGGCCCGTCCCCCTCTCCCCTTCCACCCTCTCCACCTTTTCAGAACCCCTATGATTGCTGGCGGGCTCTTCGTGATGGACAAGCTCTACTTTGAAGAACTGGGGAAATATGACATGATGATGGACGTGTGGGGAGGAGAAAACCTGGGTACGTGAGAGCCTGTGTCTTCTCTTTCCAATTCTGATGAATCCATGACCTTTTCCTACCCACCAAGGGCATCGAAATGAAAAATGGAAGCTTTGAGGAGGCTGTTAGGCAAGAGCAGGTGGTATGCAGGGAGCCAATTGGGAAAAAAAAACAAAACAAAACTGTAAAGACCTTAGTCACCATTCATCACACACCGTCAGTCCCCGAATAAGTATAAATAGCATCACTTCCACTACAGTGTCTGGGGCTAGGCGTTAAATCTGTCGCCCTAAGTTAGAGTGCAGGATGCTAGAAGACAGGCAGTCTCCTTGAAGGGAAAGGCAAATTCTTTAACATCCTTTGGATCCGAGGGTTTGGACAGCGAGCCTGTGGGATCCGTGTTCCGCCATGTGGGGTGGAAACCAGCCCGGGCCAGCCTCGTGGGGTGGACTGAATTGTGCTGCAGGAAGTCACACAGAGCCGAGAGGCCTTGGCGTTTAAGCCCTTCTTGACTACGTTGTGAATGGTTCTAATTTGGTTTGATTTTTTTTTTGGTTTTTGTTTTTAATAACCCATGCAAATCAGTTTTCTTTAGGTTTAGGGACAATGAAATTTTATAGACTTCGGTCTACATTACTAGCCGCATCATATTTATTGCGTTAAGATAGAAAGACTCTTCTTATTTTGTTTTATTGTTTGTTTAGGGTTTTCTGCCAGGGGTTCTGAACTGAGTCTCCTCAGCCACTGTTGCTATTGAATTCATTACACCGGCCGTGGGTGGGCGTGCCTGGGAGAAAGCAGAGCCGGGCAAGGACGTCACTGTCATTTTTAGTAGTTTTACCTGTAACAGAAACTTGGATATTTTTTTGTTTAAAAGAAAAAAAATGAGACTAGGCTTTTATTTTTCTCTTATTTTTTGATGTGAAAGTTCGTGATAACATCTCCTCTGCAGAGCATTCGTCTGCCGTGGTTTGATGTTGAAAGCTTCTCTAGGCTCAATAACGACACTGGGACAAAGGACCATGAGTCAGACTTCTTTTGGTTTTTTTAACGATACGTTGACAGGTAGGGAGGACTTGTATTAAAGTCGTTTGAGCACGAAAGGCTTCAGAAGTATTATTAATCTTCTGAGGAGAATTCTGAGTCACCCTCGCTCCACGGACATCTCCTGATGGCTTCGTGGAGACCTGGCCAGCCAGGACCCCCCAGTAGGACAGCGCATCACTTAGGTGACCATCTCCTGAAGCCACCGAGTGGTTTTCAAAATGTGTGCTATTACCTAAAAGCATGGATTAGGCAGATGAGGTGGTGGCCAGCCTTGTGTCACAGGGTAGAGCGTTGACTAAAACATCAAAGGGGACATTTCACAGAGAGACCAGAGGAAGGGAGAGAGTTTTCTTAAATGACCTGGTTTGGTTGTTGGTGGTGGTGGTGGTTTGGTTTTATATTCATGGAGCTGTGCCATAGGGGAGGGTCCCCAGAAGGGCTTGAGGGGCCTGGGGTCAGGGTGGGGCGGGCAGGGAGGGAGGGGCTGGAGCAGCCCCTGCCTGGGCCCCGTCTAGCACCTTCCCTCCCCTTGCCTGGCTCGGTAAAGCCACTCCCGATGAGTCTTCCCACTGTCTTCAGAGGTCAAGCAGGCATATGGGTTCCAGCAAGGGAAGTCCCCAGTATGATTCTTTCTTTCTGAGACCGCTGTGACTTCTTTCTCTGAGCGCTGGCTGCACATCCGGTGGCTGTCCAGCCTGCGAGGCGTGCGTGGACGTGTGTCGGGAGAGGTGGGGTACAGGGATGCGGGAGTAAAATCCAAAACCTCCTCCTCCAAATACACCCACCCCCCAGACTAAAGAACGACTGCAGCTTCCGCTTTTCCTAGCTGGTCGTGTGGGCCTAATGTAAGCAATTAAAAAGACAAAGAACCTGATCCTGAGCCCGAGGGAGACACAGGGGTCAGGCTCCTTGGGCATAGTTGTCCTTTGTACCGTGTCCCCACAGCATTAGGATAGAGGCTATCTGCTTCCAGTATATTAGTTCATTTTATGCTTTCTTTTTTCTTTCTTTTTTTTTTTAATTAAAGCATAGCTAACACACAGTGTTACAATTTCATTAGTTTCAGGTGCACAACATAAAGATTTTTGACAACTCCGTACACTTCATTTCATGCTTTCTTGAAGGACCAAGGTCTTCACTAAGATCTCAGAGCAAAGGCCAAGATGCAAACACAAACTGCCTAACTCAAAATCCACCAAGTTATCTTGAGGAACCATTCCCATGTTGTAGCGTCGCCGAGTTCAAGTGAAATCAGAGCTGAATGTAATTGTAATCCTATGTGGCCTTCAGAATCTCCAACCAGATCCCTGAATGGATCCCCCCTCCTGGTTTAACAGCTTTCCCATAGAGAAGGCACAGGACCTTCCTAGCCCCCAAGTTTGAATGTTCCAGTTAGGCAAACGTATATTTAAATTTTATGCCCTGAAATACAGAGAACTTCTTATTCAAAGTGTTGTTGAACGCTAAGAAAGAAAGTCAGAAGCCCTTCATTGCAGAGGCTTGGGTGGTCATGACCTTGTATTTCTCAAGGCTGTGAGGGAATTGGTTACAAAAGGCCTGTAACAGCTGTGTGGATCACTCATTTCCAGCCAATGGGGTGTTCCCTATACTTCAGCTTGCCGGACCCAGGACTAGGAGCTCCTGCTGTTCTGTCCGAGTGGGAGTATGTGCCTTCAGCTGTGCAGTGTGGGCTCCTGCTGTCACAGACCAGGCCTTGTCTGGAGGATTTCCCCAGCACCTCACTCGGGGTCTGCGGTAATCCCACCTGACTTCTGATCCTTCTATACTTGCAGCAGTGATGGCTAATTCTGTGGATTCTGTCTTGCCTCCTCACTGTGTTCATGATGTTGAGGAAGCGCCCTTTTATACCAACCATGACGTCTGCTGCAGGGACTCGGATGGTTGGTGATTAGGACAGGTGCCTGGTCAGAGGGTACTGGGCTGTTCCAGACAGGCCAGCCACGTGCCAAGCTTTGCCCGAGTACAGAGGCTCAGGGCAGTGTGTGTGTTGGCGTTGGCCTGAGCAGCGCCAGCCCTGAGCATCTCGTTACTCCTTAGGTCGATTCTGTGTCCGAGCAGGGGAGCCACTGGTGACTGGCTGCTGGTGAACTCCGTGGCCAACTTTGAGGGATCTTGAGTTACTGAGGCATCTTTGGTCACTACCATAGTCCAAGAGGCACCTGTGAACTTCCCAGGTGACTTGAAGCCTGCTAATGATGCACAGTTATGAATAAGCGTAAAGTTTGAAGTCTAAGAAAAGCATTTTTTCTCCGGGGTGGAGAAAGCCCAGGTGCATAGTAGTGCTCGGTGCACGGAAAATAAGTTTTAGAGAAAAGCGACATGTACAGTGGTCTGTTGTAGTTAAGATCAGAGCTTCATTGTGGGGGCATTTCATGCCTTTTGATGTTTGTGCACCTTCATCGATGCCTTTTCTAACAGTGTTGATACTAAGCAAGTGCAAATGTCATACCCCGTGGTCACAAACCAGCTAGTGAAGTATTTAGTGCGAGCATTTCACTGGTTGATACTATGATGCTACATGGACATGCATGGTCTTATGCCTGGGGTCCTTTATATTCAGAATAGACCAAAGATTCACATTTGTCTCAAGGTGTCTCATCTGAATCTGAAAACTGTTTCCATGTGCTCTCTCTCTCTTGAATTTGGAATAGAATTGTTTAATGAAGACATGGGATTTGGTAACATAGATCTCATTGGCTTCCATAATTCAAATCTGTGCTAAAATCTAAGATCGCACATGTCCCAGCGTAGGTAACGTGTTTGACATTTTTCTTCTTTTTGTCTACGTCACTTTACATTTCTGTAAAACAACACTGTTGTGGAGACACCCTCCTAGTGAACCTGAGTGTGAACTTTTGTTCGATTTTTTTTGTGTCTCCAACTTTATTGAGGTCCTGTTGACAATTTGAAATTGTATACATTTAAGGTACACGACTTGATGATTTGACGTATGTGTACTTTGTGAGATACTTACTAGAGTCAAGCTGATTACCACATCCGCCTGCACCTACTTTCCGGGTCGTGCCATGGAGCCGGGAGACCCAGGGTGTGTCGGATATCTCCACTGTAGAAAGTTCAGGACCATGTTCTGGAGGGAGGCAGGTTCCTTATCCCCATCTCCTTCGGCCATTGAGGGCATGAGAGCCCTTCGATGGGATGGTGGTGGGTGGGCATTGGTACATTCTGTGCATCACCCTGTCTCTTTCCCCATCTCAGAGATCTCATTCCGCGTGTGGCAGTGCGGTGGTAGCCTGGAGATCGTCCCCTGCAGCCGCGTGGGACACGTGTTCCGGAAGCAGCACCCCTACACTTTCCCGGGTGGCAGTGGCACGGTCTTTGCCCGGTAAGTGGTCGTGACAAGGCCATTGGGGACCACCACCCAGACAGCACTTAACCTGGGGCTGCGTGGAAACAGGTGTCCTTCGTCGGGACACCACACGCCATTGACAAGGATCACTCGTACGCACAGCAACCTGCGTGCCTCTTGAGGGCAGTGTGCTGAGTGAAAAGTCGCATCCTCTACAATCCCACTTCTAGGACAGTCTCAGAAAGACGCAGCTATAACAGTGGAGGGCGGACAGGGCCGGGGCAGGGGAGTGACCACAGAGGGGCAGCTGGCGCGGTGGCCGGGGTAAGGGTGCCGTGCTGCATCCTGACGTGTTGGTCATCACACCGATCTGTACACGCGGGAAAGCTCATACAACTGTAACCCCAGAAACGTATGAGGAAACTTGATTGTAGAGAAGAGGAGCTTGTTTTTTTTTGTATGTATTACCATCCAAGGAACAACGTGTGAACAGTGTGTAAGTTAAGCCGTACTGAATTCAAGCCAGGAAATCCACACAGCATGTAGATAGGATCTGTGATAGATAATAGATACATTTTAGCAAACATAAAGATGCCAAATGAAGAGCTTTCCGAAGAAAATAGGCAAATTACCAGTCGTGGGCCCACGGCTTTTTCTAGGGAATTCTTTTCTATGCTAAAGATAAAATAGCATACAAGCCAGCCCGCCTGGCCTCCAGGAGGTGGGAGTAGTCAGCCCAGTATACGAATAGCTAAATAAGATGATTGCAACCACTGATAAATGCCATGAAACAGATAAAACGTGGTCACGTGGTTGAGCATGAGCGGAACGGGGGAGAGGTTCGCAGGGTGGCATGCAGCCAGGGGACCCCCGAAAGGTGGGAGGGAGGAGCTGTGGACTCCCTGCAGGACGAGCGGGTCCTCGGTGCCAAGGTCAGTGTGACTTCAGAGCAGGAGGACCCCAGGTGGGACTGGAGCCTAGAGAATGCGGGGACAATAGACAGGGTGGGGGGCTAGACCGGCCCCAGCCAAGACCCCTGTGGGTTGTGGGAAAATGGAGGTTGTTTTGAGGGCAGGGGGAAGCTGCTGTAGGCGCCTGACCTTTGAGCAGTTACCTGACTTCTCTGTTTTAAGCTTTAGAGAGCGAGGTGACACCAGGAGGAAATGATGGTGCAGGTGTCCCTCCCCTCCTCTCCAGGAGCAGGGGCGGGGGCCATTGCAGTAGCCCAGGGCTGAGAGGAGGTGGCCTGGACTCAGGGGCGCCAGGCTCCAGTCACCTTCCGGCAGGCAGCATTGACGGTGGCCTGGCAGTGGCCAGGGACCAAGAGCCAGGAATTAAGAGCAAGTCCTTGGCCTTTGGTCCTACAACTTTGCTGACCTGCTGCCCCCACCAAACTAGGAGCACTTGAGAGAGGGTGGAATTGAGTTGGGGAGAATGACTAGCTTATCTCTTGTATAGTATTTTAAAACCTTGATTCAAAGTACAGATCGCACAATACACATGTATTACATAGAAGTTAGTTTTAGCATAGAGATTCTGGGTTGTGGGAAACTTAAATGAAGCCAAATAGCAAGTAACTTCTGACCAAATTATCTTCTTTCAAAAGCCTGTCCTTTCTCGAATGTTGTCTAACTTCATTACTGCTCTTTATTAGAAACAAAAATATGTTCTTACCCAGTGAGCTCTACAAAATCAAACAGTGATTGATATGTTTTTTCCCAGGGACAATGCGAGATTCCTCCCTAAAACCTCCTGGGTAGACATATCAAATACCCAAATCAAAGCCATTGGTCACTACCAGCACATGGCAGGCCCTTAGAAAAGAATCTGTTAACATACACAGAACATTGCTTTATACGCTTTGGTTTTTTTAAAGCACTCTTCTTTAGAAGGGAAACTTCCTCACTCTGTTTTGTGGCCCAGGAGCCTGAACACTAGAGGCCTGGAGAGAAGACAGACCCAGGCTTTCCATATTTGGGGCAGCAGAGATCTGCTGGCCTTATGTGAGGCTCTGTGGCTCTCTGCCTCCATGGACTCAGCTAAAAGATAAGGAGGTAGAATTAGATTATTTCTGAGATCCCTTTCTAGTTCCAAGTTCTCTCTGATTTCCTCTAATCTGTGGCATTAAGGTATAAGTATTTCATGGTTTAAAAATTTGGGACTTCACAAATAGCTAACATTTATATAGTGTTTTGTGTGCGTCTGGCTGTTCTGAGTACTTGACAAATACTAGCTTACATCATTCTCAAAACCTTATGAATGAAGTGCTATAAAGGAAATCGAGGCACAAAAAGGTTCAGTCCCTCAGTCCAAGTTCACGCAGCCGGAAAGTGCCAGAGCTGAGTTGCCACTTGGGCAGTTGGGCTCCAGACTCCATGTCATCACCACACATTGATCTTTTTAATCTAGATCCATAGGGGCAGCTAGTGTCTGAGGTCACTGGAATTCATCCATTAGGTACAGATTATAAAGTGGGCAACAGAACAGGGTGTGGAGGCTGATCTCATTTGTGTGGGTTAGTCTGTCAGTGAGTAAGTGAATGATGAATGAATGAGTGAGTGAATGAATGAATGAATGGAGCAAGTAGCCCCAGTGGGGTCTTCACGTTGTTTTACCACCCCTGGGTGTACACGTGGGCACCTGCACTGAAAGGGTAAGGTGATGTGACCCACCTGCAAATTCTTACTTCCTGTCCCTGGTGATGGCAGCCACATCCCTTAAGACCATTTGAGAGTGATCCAGCCGGTATGTTTTTCGCTGCATTTCCAGTTAGCTTCCCGCAAACCCCTGCAGAGACTGGAGGGTGCTGTGTGTGTGCTTGAGGGGTATGTTAATTAGAGTTTCCCCCAGGGGCTGGGGAAGGTCCCAATCAGAATAGCAGTGTGGCGGTGGGGTAGATCCTTAGATGGATATTTAAAATGGTTTTAGGTGTAGAGTTAATGGCAAGACTTTACTAATATGATTGAAATTAAATAGAGGAAACCAATGGTTTAAAGTTAGTTTCTGACGGAACTTTCTTCTGTTACTACCGCCAAGCAGCAGAGCTGGCCCATGCGAATCACCCTTTCTCTTTGCTGCCTGCTTCCTGGTAGAGCTGCTTTGCCCTGAGTATGGGGGGTGGGGGAGGCAGAGGGGAAGCGCAAGCGAGGAGAAGCCGGATAAATCAAAGTGGACCCTTCTGGGGGCCACTGTAGCCATAGCACCAAGAGGACTGTTTGGCATATAGTAGGTACCCAATAAACGTTGGAATGAATGAACTGAAACTAGCACTGAGTAGCATATGGAGCCGACTCGTTGAGGCTGCGTACATATCTTTCTCTATTAAGTAGACAGGTGTTGCTTTGCATTTAGGAATTAAGAAATAACTTAATTACTTAATGACTTAAGTGATTCAAAACCACTGTGTGATTGGAATTCACAAAACCTTGAAGCCATTAGGGCTAAAAGGGACCTAGGAGATGCTTGAATCCAATCCTTTCATCTTACTGATGAGCAGCCCAAGTCCCAGAGCACTGAAGTCGCACAGCAGGTTAGGGATTGGGCGTAAGTTGAGGCATGAGCCACTTTGGAAGCCTCCAAAGTAAGAGTATTTAATGGCTCGTCTGAGAAACAATGCTTATGCTACAGCATCCCAGGCACTTCAAATCTTTAGATGCACATGGCTGTACATATGTATTTCTTACAGGGCGAGAGTAAAAAATATCCTCAATCTCATTGCCAAAGATAGCAGTCTTATAATGTGGTGGACCCATCTCTCACCACCCCCCCTCTTCTCCCTGCACACACAGACCTCCCCTGCCCTGGTCTCTCACCCAGCAACCAGCCAGGGACATCGTTCCACGGCTGCAGGTCAAATGGCCACCAGGATTTTCAGTGACTGCAGTCATCCATTTATTTCATCATTTCCCTGTCGATGGTCATAGGGTTTCTAAATTTTTTTTTTTTACCATTATAAACAATGCTGAAGTGAGCATATCTTCGGCTACATATTCTCCTTGAGGTAAAGTTCTAGAAGTGGGAACTGCTGGATCAGAGGAAGGGGTGTGTTCATTCATATTGTCCTGCCTGTCTCGTAAATGGCATTCACAACAGTTCATCTTCTGTTGCACAAAGAGAAAAAAAGGGCTATACATCACTCTGTGTGAAAGATAGATGCCCCGAGTAGAAATTATTTTAATAATCGTAGCTCAGGTAATTTGAAAGGCTCACCATTTAAAAGAGACCTTTCTGATAGAGAAAAGGAATTCTTTTCAAAGGTGAACATTGCCTCCCTAATATATTTATTTTGGAAGAACATAATGTCTTCTATATGGCTTCTTAAGGAGGAGTGAGTCTACTTTGGAACCGAGTCCAGGCTATGGGAGCAAAGAGGCTCACAGTATGAATGCTGCTTCATACGTGCGTGAGAACAATGTGGGCAGGGTCAGATGCTGACGCCCACGCACGTGGGAGCCTTGCACGCCGGCCATATATGCAAAAGTAGCTTGTTGCGGTGGCCTTAAATGATCATGCATCATGGTTTTGAGATTGGAGCACGTGGTTTTCTTGCCTGGCAGAAAAGCCCGCTCTATGTGGGTCCCTCTAGCACGATGTGGTCAAGTCGGAGCCCCAAATGTGGGGCAGAAAGCTTCTCTCCCCTTCCCATCGCTCTTCCTTGTCCAAACAGGACACTCTCTCAGCTCAGGTCCGCAGGGAAAAAAGTCTTTTTAATAGTAATTCTTATCTATTTGTAACTTTTCCCCAGAGCTATCTAGTAATGTGACAGCCGTGATGAGAAGGACCACAGAGACCAAGGATTTCTTGGCTCTACTCTTCCGTGCCAGCCTCCTGTGCATACATAATGCAGGTTACCGCGGTGACACTCTGCGTCCTTCTTGCTGGTCCAGCTCCTGTCTCTTCCTCCCGGGACCTGCCCGTGCTGCAGTTCTAACTCTGATTTTTGCTCTTTGACAATCTGTTTCTGTGAAAGACGAGAAGGCCAGTTCTGTTGGTTCAGTAAGCACCAGCTGAGTGCCCACTACCTGCAAATCCAGGCCTGGGTGCCGAGCCGGGGGACGGCCTGCTCTGCATCCCTGTCCCAGCTGCCGGCCCACCTTGGAGGACCTTCCTAAGTAGCCCTCCAAGCAGACAAGTGCACACGGAGTGATGCTGACGGAAAGGAAGCAAATCACAGCTCAAGGAGATTTATTTTGTTTCTAGTAACACCCGCCGGGCAGCAGAGGTCTGGATGGACGAATACAAAAATTTCTATTATGCAGCAGTGCCTTCTGCCAGAAATGTTCCTTATGGAAAGTAAGTGTCACTTGAGCCCTCTCGCGCCGCTTTGCTCAGGATCCCAGGGGGTGGGGGAAGCCTGTGGTCATCCCGCACCCCACGAACCATTCTGCTGCCAGAGTCGGGGACTGTCGCCCAGGTGCCAAAGCAGGGGCCTCTGCTCAAGGCCGGGCAAGGGCCTAAGGCAGGAAGCACGTGGGAGGTGGGCCGAGGCCGTGGGGACCGGAGTGTGGACAGTCCAAGCTCCACTGCCTGCTTCAGTCCTCTTAGCAGCAGCTTTCCAGATTCGATGTAGGGAGCTTGTCCGTTCTTAAATTGGTAAAGGAATCCTGTGTCCCTCTTCTCCAGTATTCAGAGCCGACTGGAGCTCAGGAAGAAACTTAGCTGCAAGCCTTTCAAGTGGTACCTGGAAAATGTCTACCCAGAACTAAGGTAAGCCGCCGGGGATCGGAGTCTCGCTTTGTAAGGGCTTAGGAGCCACGGATGTCAGAGAGGCGGGGAGGCCCCGAAAGGTGACAAGTGAAGGTTGTGCCCCTGGCGAGAGGCCAGGAGCTAGGGCTCGCAGGGAGAGCTGCGTCCCCTTACCCCGCAGCTGTCCCTGAGCACCCCTGAGAATGCGCTCCCCGAATTGTGGCCTCCCGCTGTGTGACCTTCCCATTCCCCACAGAGGCGGGAATAGTCCCAGGTGGTGCCTCGTTTAGCTCATGCCCTGTTGGTGAGAGGACAGGGCCTAAGTGACAAGGGCTGTTGTCTCACGGGCTCTGTAAGCTGCCCGAGGAGCAGCACCCAGCACCCCGTCCCCCCCCCGTGCGCTCTGGGCCCTCCCTGCCCAGCAGGTGCCCCTGCCCGGCCTCCCTGTTCTGGTTCCGAGGGCCTCGCCCTCCTCGCTCGTCTTGCCCTCGTGAGTGAGCGTCCGGAGCTGAGGTCAGTGCTGACCTGGGCAGAGACGGAACAATAAATCCGCTACGCCACTCCCCTGGCCCGGACGCCCACCCACCGCAGCGCCCCCCGCCTCCCGGGAAACGGGAGCACTAACGCCACTCCCCTGCTTCCCTCCAGGAGACTTGCCCATGGCAGACGTACTCTTCTGCGTCTGCTCTCGACACCCGCTGTTCCATCTTAAATTGATGAGAGCTCTGCATCCTAAGGGAGCGCTTGAGACCCTCATCAGAGGGCCTGCGGGGCTGCGGGTTTCGGGATCCATCCGAACTTCATCTTCGTAAAGGGATTGCCAGACAGGTTTTGCTTTAATGTGGCACATTCCTTATTCTGCATGTTCCCCGAGCATTTCCCGGCGGGTCGCGCACCTCCGACACGGGCCATGAATGCAGGAGTGCCCGCCATTATCTTTCGGGCTAACAGCTCCTTCAGAGCCCTTGTCCCAGAGATTTGTTTGAGAGTTAGAGAATGCGGCTTTGCCTCAGCATTGCTCTTCACAGCCATCGGCCCCTGGAACTGTTTCCTGTGCCCGAGAAGTGGTGTACAACATGGTGCCCCCGGCCCGAGGAGCAGGGAGAGCAGACGTTCTCCTCCCTCCGGCCCCCTCTGTGACGGCCGGCTTTCACTGGGGCCTGCGAGCAGAGTCAGTCACCCGGGGGAGGCCCCTGGGCATTGTCTCTCTCTCTCTGCCAATGCGGCACTTCTCACCAGGGCTTCGTGGCCCCATAATGCTGCCCACTTTGCTTTTGCTGTCATGGTCGTCTGTGATTTGCTGGGTAATGATGGCAGACAGTGACATTAAATGCAGCTTCACCGTGAGGATGCCCATGATGTGGGGTGACATCGGGCCTGTGCCACGTAAGACCATATCCAGAGCATCGAGCACCACGGCAGCAGGCGAATCCATCTGCCCCCACCCGTGCCCGGCCAGGGAGACCCCGACTCAATACTCGTGTTGTGTCTGTAGTAATCGCTGCTGTTCACTGGGCACCTCCTGTGCGCCAGGCATTGGGTTCCACGTGCTCGCAGTGAAACATTGTATGTGATACGTGCAACGGTTCTGCTTCACAGGCACTGTGCAGAAGAGGGGTCTGAGGCCTAGAGAGAGGGGGGTCCGAGAGATGACACAGCTGGTACAGGGCCCGGCCGGGCGCAGACTCGGGTCCAGTCCTACGGCATGTGGCCCCCACCCACTGTGCCCTGTTTCTGTTGGTGGCTGGCCGCCTGACAGAGCCACGCAAGTACTCCCCTCTACTAGGTGAAGCTCAGATCCTAAGTCTGCTGGAAAGCTCAAGGCAACAGGATCTGACCTCAGGAATTGCTCTTCTAAAGAACCTCCAACAGACCAACATTGAAGAGTATAGGAGCTTTTCCTTTCCAGAAACATTTTCCTGATAGGGAAAGAATGCTTCTCCAACTTGAAATCTTCACTTAGGGTTAGAAATCCAGGACGCCAGGACGTGCGACAGATGCCGCCCGGCTGACACAGCCCGCCTGTGGGAGGAGTGGTACGGGCCGGGGGGTGGGGCCTTCCTCTCGAGGTTCCTGCTGCCAGAGACGGAATCACTGAGCAAGGGGGTGGGAGCCAGGGGGCCTGCGGAATTAAGCAGACGATTCTCCTCTTGCTTTCCAGGGTCCCTGACCACCAGGATATAGCTTTTGGGGCCTTGCAGCAGGGAACCAACTGCCTGGACACTTTGGGACATTTTGCTGATGGTGTCGTTGGAGTCTATGAGTGTCACAATGCAGGGGGGAACCAGGTATGTGAGGGGGTGGGCTTGAGCCCCTGGAGGCCCAGAGAGAACAGGGAAGGGGCCCTGAGCTCACAAGTCCTAGCTGCTGCCTTTCTGTGACCCAGGATGTGTGAGGTAGCACCTGGCCCCAGCTGGTCACCCGCTAGTAGGCAGCTGCAGGCTCTGGTGGGATGCCCCAGACCCTGACAGCCGTGTGAAGCCTGCCGTCAGCCTCAGGCCAGGCACTGCTGCCGCAGCGAGGGGCACAGTGGTTAACACACGCAGCATCCCTCCGTCAAGGCAGGCCTGCGGGGCTGGTGGCCTTCATCTCATGCTCTTCCTCCTCCTCCTCGTCTCCCTGCCACCCCCTGTCATCCCTTTGGCCTGTGCTCGTCCGCAAAGCACCTGTTCTGTGTCTGCATCTGTGTGATCTCCAAGCATGCTGATGAACACCTGCCTGGGTCCCAGCTTAATAGGCACAGACCTAGGTCATTATTGGCCCCTGCCTATTAGATAACACTGGCTTAGATAGAAAATATTCATAATTACTAGCTTCAGTCTGACACACATATACACACACAACTTGTCTTGGGAGCATAACACACCCCTACCCCGAACTTCTGTCCTCATTGAAGACAAGACAGAGAAGTGAAGGCCTGTTAGGCCTAAGCATGGCCTACGTGTTCCAGAGGACAATGTTCTAGAAAGCAGTTTTCCCATAAGAAAATAATAGATATTTGGTAAAATATGGGCTTTGTGCACAAAAAAGTTTGGGTAATGCTAGGTGCTCTTAGCTCCTTGAAAATACACCAAGCTCTCAGAGGACCTACAGTTTAAGTGTGGGCGTGGGGGGGTTAACTCAGTGTATCCCAGATTTATTGAATCCCAGAACCTTCTTTAAATAGAACGATTTTTTTAAAAGAGGGCACCTGTTTTCCTGTAAAGTTGGTTGTTCTGAGGCCCCCCAGGGAGTATCTAGGCAGACTGCAATCCCTAAATGCTTTACCTCCTCTCTTCACTTGGTGATGTCAGCAGTTGCTTGGACCAGTGTGGACATCCTAAATTAGACAAGGGAGGGAGAGCCGGTTTCAGGCGGCGGCCAGGGCCGGCCCAGCACGTGCATGCCGCACCCGGGCCCCCAGGGACTCACCTCTGTCCTCGGAGCACAGCCCCTGGCTCCTGTGCATGTTCCCCAGGGACAGGCTAGGAGCTTTGGGTGAGCACACACAGCTGGCCTCGGGGTGCAGCCTGACTTGTGGATTCTGAGTATTTCAACCTATGATAGGTGGGTCCCTAGATGTGAGGAATCGGCTGGAAGGAGGAGAGTTAGAGGGAAGATTCAAGTTGGCCGAGTTTGTTGGGTGGGGACAGGACGGAGGGAGGGCGCCATGCCTGCCAGGAGTGTCTCTGTGTCCTTGTCAGGCCTTCGGTCTGAGGCACTGAAATTCACTGTGGCCGCACTTCCTGCTGGGGACCGTGTGGGTGTGGCTCTGTGCCCCAGGATGCACACAGCGGGGGCGACATGGGGCCATGTGGCGCAGGTCTGACTGCAGGGAACCGTGCCGGGACGAAGCGTGAAGGGGTCTGGGGCTTCAGTGTGAGGTGGGGAGGCTGAGGGCGCAGGGAGAGGCGGGGTTTTTATCTGTTTCTGGCCAAGGCAGAATGAAAATACTCAAGTGTTGCCTTCCAAAAAGTGAAGCTTTGGGAAGACAGGAAACGCAGTGCATCTAATGAGTCTCCGGGAGCTAGCTCAGTTTAATCTGCATCAGAAAGGCGGTGCTTCGGGGTCTGGTAAGCCCCAGGGTGCTTCTGGTCTTGGTGGCAGAAATTCAGAAACTGGGCTGCTTCACGTGGAGCTGGGTGAAGGGTGAAGCTCGCCTTCGGTCTGCATGTTACAATTCAGAGGAGGTGTGGCCCTGAGTTATCTACCTTCTGTATTGTTAGACTTTGATTCCAAGTTGGCCTCACGCCCCTCCCCCATTTAATCACCGGGGTTTCCCTCGGTCACATTTGCAATGCTCTGATGATTCAGTGACTGTTGAAGGGTCACCCCTTGATATTTTAGCAGCCCTACCGGGCAGTGAGAACTCTAACTCTGTGCATTTGAAAAGTATGTATGGTCGGCAGCTGTTAGGGAAGGATTTCCCAGTGCTCCGCACCCTGCCCTCTCTGGTCTCAGGCACCAGCTTCTGTCCCGGGCTCTGTGCGTGGCTCTTGTGCACTCAGCATGGCCTTGGAGATGGATGGCACCTTGTACTGCACAGCTGGTAATGAAGCCGGTGGCCGCCAGGCAGCAGGCTGCCATGGCCTGGGTAGTCGCCCCCCCACCCCACCGCCATGAGGGCTCGTGGCCATGGCTCTGGATCCCCGGATCCTTTCTGCAAGCTGGTCTCTGAGCCCACGAGCCCTGCTCTGCAAGCCCGCGGGGAGGCTGAGCATCCTGGCCTGCCCGGTGCATCGCTGCTTTCCACCTGTCTCCCCTGCAGTTTTTCATAGCGCCCCCTTTTCATCTCAAAGGTGTCCTGGTTGTAGTCGCCATGGTTATAGGCACAGGAGCTCGTTGATGACGAGCTGCTCTCAGGATGCCATTCTGGGGGGAGGAGGAGATGGGGACTAGTGTCGGAGGCCCCCCAGAGGCCGCTGCTCCCGGCTGTGCGCACAGGTGACCGTGCCGGGCCACGGCCCCGCCAGGCTTGGGCTGTCCCGGTGCTCGGCTTGGGTCTGTTGGCGAGAGCATGCAGCATGGCCTGTGCGGAGCACTCCGTTCCCTCTCTTTTCCCTTTTGCTGTTGGGAGACCGTTGCTGTTCTCACACTGGGGCTGGGGGAGCTTGCCCTCCTCCCCGCGAATGTCTGCTGAGTGCCCCCCTGGGCCAGCCGCTGCGTGCTCAGGGGTCCTGACCAGGAGGACCCGGCCCTGCCTGCCCAGGGAGCAGCGTTCTACCGTCTCTGAGCCCTCCCCCCGTGGTTTTGTGCTGGAATTGCCCTGAGAGCTCTCCGGAAATTCTGATGCCGGGTCCCCTGCCCAGAAAGCCTGCTTTCATCGGCCTGGGGTTGCAGAGCACTGGGGTTTGTGAAAGAAGCTCCCAAGGTGGGTGATTCTAAACGAGCGACTGCACAGTGAGGGTTTTCTAGCAGGGGAGACCACACCAGTGCGGGACAGACAGTGTGACCACGTGGTGTACCTTCACCCACACACCGGGGACCACATTCCTCCATGGACCAGCCTGCGGCCCGGAGAGCTGCCTTCTAGATCAGTACCATCCAGCTGTGCTTTGTTCGCTGAAAATGTTCCAGATCGGCACCATGCAGTCCAGTTCTCACTGACCCCAGGTGGCCACAGAGCACTCAGAATGTAGCTAGTGTGACTAAGGGTGTCAGGTGTTCATTCACTTGACTCAGCAGGTGCATAGTTTGGCCACCATGCTGGCGTGTGTGGGTCTGGAGGCAGCGGGAAGCCAGGGCCTACTGCTGCAGATGTTCCGTGAGTAAGTCCCATCCCAACTGATGGAAAGCGATGCTTTTTTGAGTGGTGTGCCACATGGGTGAGAAATGAGAGGGTAAATAACGTTTCCTAACTGCAAATAGGGTACTGTGCTCTGGACGAGTACGGTTTCTTATCTGGTTTCTGGCGGAGCCTCAGCAGACACACAGGAAATGGGAAAATTAATGGCCGTGCTCTTTTAAGAGTGGCAGCTCAAAAAAGCAATTCTTAAATATTTATGATCTTTATTTTACAAATTCAGATCATTGAAATGCAACAGAAGAACAAAGTGGCAGCCGGCTCTGTTGTTTGCACAGCTGAATTAGTTTTCCTGGAATTCAGTGTAAAGTCTGCTTTAAAATAATTAAGCACACAATAGCAAGAAGGTTGTAGAAACATTCGTACGTGAGCTTTCACTGGGTATCTGCAACCCTTCCAACATCTTTTCAACACCTGCTTCCAAGAAGCATCTAGAATCTTGCCCATGAGTGGGGGTGGGTTGGTGCCATTCCCTCACGCGAGCCTCGCTGCAGGCGTGATGCGTATCTGAATGCATGAAAGGCGGGGTGCATGAGCTCCTTCCTGGGACCTTTTGGCCCCAAATGCTGCCCTGACGTACAGGTGACACTGAGTGCCCGTTGGCGCCTCGGAGGCGCCAGCTGTGGAGGGACAGCATCATGGAAGGTTGGGATTGACCCTCAGGGGTGGCGTGGGGCCCTTCCTGGAGAATGCTCTGCAGAGCTCACTGCCAGGAGCTGCCGATGGGGACAGGTGGGGACAGGGCTCCGCGCTCTCAGGTTTGAGGGATGCTAAGGAAAACAGTCCGAGCACGTTCTGCTAGGCTCAGCCTTCCAGAGCTGTGAGGAGCCTATGTGTGACTTTGCAGAAAGAAACGTGGCCCAAATTCACCGTTTCCCAAACTTACTTGACCTGAAACTAACTTTTCATAGAATCCCTCATGGAGCACACTTTGAGAAACACTCATTAAAAGGTGAGAACATTGAAGCCAAGGAAAAGGAGGGGACTGGCCCCAGTCTGCCTCCCTGCTAGGAGAGAAGGAAGCCGTCAACAGGCTAAGGGGCTTCTCCAGTCCCTAGATGGGCTGCCTGTCTAGGGCAGACCATCTGTTCCAAGGTGACCGAGGTGCTGAATAGTGAGGCTTCTTTGAAAGATCATTTATTCCCTCCCTTACCTCTGTCCCCTGAGAACAGAAAAAAAAGAAAAAGAAAAAGAATTTCTCCATAGCACTTAGGAGTGCCTAAAGTTACATAATACATTTATTCATGGGTGAGCCATTCTCCCTGCTGGAGAGCCAGCCCCGTGAGGTCGGGGCCTTGACTGTCTGTTCCCCGCAGTGGGCTGGGCCCTGGGAGAGCACCTGAGGCATTGCAGGGCGCCGTGGACCGTCGCTGGAAGGATGGCAGAGTCGTAGCAGCTTTCCTGGGCAGATAGCAGAAAGGGACACGGTGGTAGGGAGTGTGTCCAGGTGGAATTCTGGGTTGGAAGACGCTTGGCTGCTTCTGGATCCTCAGGGCTCACTTGGGTATTTACCCCTTTGAGAGAGGTTCAGGTCCTAGAGTGAAGGTCGGAAGCCACCTCCTCCTGTCCCACCCCTGGCCCCGCCCAGAACCTTGTGCCTGGGGCCTCGCTCACCCATCTTCATTCTCTGGCTTCCTGCCCTTTGAGACTGTCTTACTTAGCACTCTGAATAAATGGTTGTGCTCTCAGCCCTTAAGGGGTGTGTGTGCGTGTGTGTGTGTGTGTGTGTGTGTGTGTGTTTCTATTTGATCATGGCTCAGTTTTCCCATCTGTTAAATGGGGGTAATAACGGCCTCTTGTGGGGCATACAGTGGTGCCCAGCACACAGTAGGCGCCTGGTGTTAGCACGAGGGGTGTGTGTATAAGTACACAGATTTAGGGATCTCAGACCTTTGTGAGCATCAGCCAATCAACTCACTGCTCAGTAGTGAGGTTACATGCTGCATATTTTGCATAAATGGGCCATGTATAATTTACCATTTTCACACGTTACAATCCACATTCATAAAGGCTGTTTCCAAACCACACCTGCAGGGGAGCAGAGTCTTTCCAAAATAATGCAGGCGGAAAAGTCGACCCTGAACTGTCCACCTTGGGGGATCCACGCATGGGCCACCATGTTTCCAGCTCACCTTTTGTGGTAGAAAACTGGGTGTGGCACTCAGATGTGCACCCGGGGCTAAAATAGTTCACGCTGTTTATCTTAGTTACTCGTGTTCTCAAAGCCCTTTCATCACATCAGTCGGTGAACTTGGTGCTGCGCTGGGAGGCTCCCCCTAGCACCCCCAGGTGGAGATGTGCCCTTCGGTAAGAAGTCGTGTGTCGGCCCTGCGTTGACTGGGGGTCTCAGAGTCTCTGCTCAGCAGTGTGACCCTTTCCCTCTTGGGGCCCCATCACTCACAGCCCTGTGCGTGGTGCGGCCCTGACCTCCGGTGTTGTGCTCCAGGAATGGGCCTTGACGAAGGAGAAGTCGGTGAAGCACATGGACTTGTGCCTGACGGTGGTGGACCGGGCACCAGGTTCTGTCATAAAGCTGCAGGGCTGCCGAGAGAACGACACCAGACAGGTAGGGTGCCCCTGCCCCTCAGCCCGGCCTTCCCGCGCCGCCCCCGCCCCCCCACGGCCTTGACTGCAGCGCTGCTTTGTACGGTCCAGCTGCCCTGTCGGACCTCGACTCCAGCTGTCCGCCATCTCCCACCGAGCTCCTGGCACGCAGCAGGCACTCCGTGAATCTCGTGCTGGGTGAACGTGTGGTCGGGGTGTTCGTGCTCCGTGCGGGCTGTGGGTGCTCAGAAGGCCGCTGTGCTGCCCGTGTGCACCGGCTCTGGGCAGCGTGCCTTCTGGCCTGTCCCCTGTGGGCGGCTCCACCATAAGTACCCCCATCCCGGGTTATGTCTTTCCATAACTTCTTTTTTTCTTTAAACATTTATTCATTTGTTTTAAAGAGAGAAAGAAAGAATCAGCAGAGGGAGGGGCAGAGGGAGAGAGAGAATCCCAAGCCGACTCCCCGCTGCGCATGCAGCCCAACACCGGGCTCAACCCCACAACCCCGAGATCATGACCCAGCTGAAATCAAGAGTCGGAAGTCCGACTGAGCCACCCAGGCGCCCCCTTCCATACCTTCTTGATTGATCTGTTTATATCTGTTCCTCACTCTCTAGCCACACTGGAAAGGAAGGGGCCACATTTGTATGTTCAGCTCCTATGAAGGTGTGTAAGCACCTTCCCTAGGCTGAGGGCCTCGGTAGGGGCTCCCAGCACCTCCAGGTGCAGGTAAGCAGTGCTGCTGGTGTCTTCTTCAGAAGCTTCTTTGTAGCAGCCACTCATACATGGGCATCCTGAAAGTGTTTGGTGATGCCCGTGAACGCGGGAGAGGGTCGGGGGCCGGGGGCCGTGCACATGTGCGTCTCAGTGCTGGGCGTGATGCCTGGAACCCCCATCACGTTCTGCCTCATCAGACCCCCCGCATGTGGAGGCACAGACCTCAGGCCTGGGAGTGGGGAGGCACAGCCAGCTCACGGCTTCTCCACAGAAGCACGGAAGCCCCGGGGGCCAAGCAGGGGTGCGGCAGCGGCCAGCCACTCCAGGCAGAGAACTTGGCCCAGGCGCGGGGCCCACTGAGAAGTCAGCGAAACACTGACCTACTAATAAGTACTAGAAAAGAAAGTGAGGTTCATAACCACATCACCAAAGGGAGGTGTTTTCATTCTGTTTCATTCTGTGGTGGTAAACCCACAGCCCTGAAGGAAAGCTCTCTGTTTCTTAAGCCGGTGGTCTGATACTGCTTATTTCTGATGACATTCTCGTTCTTCCCATGCCACCAGATATTTCAAAGAAAAATTGCATGTTGTTACTTACTCATTAAATATTTTTGCTTTTTAAATTTACAAAAATGCTAAATGACTAAGTTCAAGTAGATGAGACTTTATACACACACACACACACTCTCTCTCTCTCTCTCAAGTATCTGTGTGTATATATTACTTTTTCCAAACAGTTCGGATTGTTTTTACCTTCTCTGACATAAGCCCCCGTGGTAATTTGGAGGCAAGCCCTTTCTTGAGCCATGAGGGGAGTGACTAGTGTCAGAAATAGAAATGCAGCCACAAAGGGCCTTCCAACGTGCCAACAAGTGGAGACTGGCTTATCCTCGTACAGTCTCTTTTTATGAGATAGATGGATGTAGAGAAACTGAGGCACAGAGCCTACCAGAGCCAGGAGCCTGAGTGGGCTTCTAGTCCAAGACGGATTTCACCAAAGGGGAGGCTGAGACCCACAGGGTCAGTGCCTCCTCTTCAGTGTCACCTGGGAGGACCGAGGCCGGGACCAGATCCCTGGCTTAGATCCAGTTGTCAGGGAAATGCTTGCATCTGTCCATCCCTGGTCTGCTCGTGGGGTGCCCCCTGTCCCCTACGCTGCAGACCCCCAGCCTGGTTTCTGATGGACGCTTAATCTCTGGAGGAGTTCAGTAGGAGTTTGCCTTGTTTCCAGGGCTGACAGGCGTTCCTGGTGCCATCCCAGTTCTTGGGAAGCCTAACTGATACCCCTGAGACGCTCACACCACGGGGTGGAAACATCCTGCAAACAGCTCTTCTGACCCCGAGGTTTCACCCGGCGCAGAGCCGTGTGGGGGCTGTTTCAGTAGAGCCTTGACGGTCCAGAAATCTGACCCAGGATTAGGGCCAGAGCTGGAGTTTGGTTATTTTTTTTTTTTAAAAGACCTTGCATTTAGCTGAGGCTTTGACACCTGACAGGCAGAGCCCCTCCAGAGAAGGGGATCAGATGCCATTCATTGCACGTTCTTTGTCAAGCCTGATTCCTGGCCATTCAGAGCGACACAGGGCTGTCGGCTGCGCATACACACTTTACATGACAATGGAGGAGACCAGCGTGAGGACTGACTGACAGCCAGGGAACCAGAGAGGAGGGATGATGGGCAGGCAGCGGTGACCTCCCCGTGCTCATCTGACTGCGCTGAATTTCACTGTTGGCAGAAACTCCAGGTTAGCGGGCGGCCTGAATGAGTATCATAGGGTCCTTACGAGAACATCCCAGCCTCCTGTTCTTGTGCAGAAGGCCGGCTCTCGGGGGAGGGGGAGGGCGGGGTCCTCTGCCTCGCTCTGCCTCCTTCCCCTCCCCATCCATTTGCCCTTTGAGAGGAGGCTCCTCAGCTAATTTTATCTCAAAGCTGCACCGTCTTGCCAGTTGGAGTATTTGGTTTCCAGGCACGTCTGTGGTTCGTATTTTGTGTGCATTTGCAGAGTCAGAGGGGAAGGGGGGCAGGAGGAAGAGAATTCAATTCCACGGTGTCAAAAGGATTTGCAAAAATACTTACAGAAAGGAGCTTTAGCGCACACAGTGTAAAAAATTAATTAGAATCACAGACTATATTAATGAAGGGAGAGCTTTTGGGAGAAAAAAGTGTGATAGTTTTTTTCTTTTAAAGAACAAACAGATTTTTACATGGGGGTGAACAACAGCGTGAGGGGGCCTCAGACTTCCTTTAGGCTAGGCTGTGGGCTTTGTTTTCTTGTTTGGTTGGTGGATTAGTTAGTTGATTGGTGAGTTGGTTGGTTGGCTGATTGAACTTGGTTAGCTGGTTGGTTGAGATTGGTGGGTTGGTTGATGGGTTTGGTCTTGGTCGGGGAAGGGTGTCCACACTCGAATAAGGAGACGTTAGTTACATCCTGTGCTTTACAAGAGTCACATTTGGAACTGAGCAAATACTGCTTGTTCCCTGCCGTGCGGAGCACTGGGGGCCCCCCCGGGGTGGCTGAGACAGGTTTCTCACACCCACCAAAGAGCTCACAGACTCGTAGAGAAAACCACACAGTATAGAAACGGGTTCCTCAACATGATATTCTGTCCACTCAGGCATCTTTTTCCCTCTCGTTTGACCTGACACCATTCTCCTAGTTTAATTGAGCCTAAGGCCCTAAGTGGGAGAGTGGAGGTGCCCAGGTCACGGGCTCCAGGCAGGGCTGCCTTCCACTAGCCAGGGACAGGATTGGGGTCCTCTCTGAGCTGGCTCAGCTTTCTGGGGCTCCTTCCTGAAGGTGAAATAGCATCAGAGGAGGCCTTCTTGTGGATGAATGCACGTTGCCGACAAGAGACTCCCTACCTCAAGTCCTTGCGCTAATGACCAAGGACGGGCAGGTGCCCAGAGCACTGGTGCTTGGATGAGGGGACAGCCAAAGGAGGGAAGAGGTGGGGCAGGGTGCACGGCCCCTAGCAGCCCAGAAAGGAGGTTTTGAGTTGCAAACCAAGGCAGAGAGCATAGGTTTCTTTCCCTGGACGCTCAGCTGGCCCTGGGGCTGCTTTGTCTTGGGGCAGAGGGTAACTCCTCTGTTATGATCAGAAACCAACCCCCCCACCTCCCCGCCGCCAGCCTCTGGCCACCACCACCAAAAAAAAAAAAAAGGCTTGGTTTTTTTTGTTTTTAGTGTAGCTAGGAGACCCTGCAAATGGATCTGTATCGTGCCGTTTTGTGTGTGCTGTGATCGTAAGGCACTCTCCTGTCTCCTGCAGAAGTGGGAACAGATCGAGGGCAACTCCAAGCTGCGGCACGTGGGCAGCAACCTATGTCTGGACAGCCGCGCGGCCAGGAACGGAGGCCTGAGCGTGGAGGTGTGCGGCCCCGCCCTGTCTCAGCAGTGGAAGTTCACGCTCAACCTGCAGCAGTAAGCGGAGCCCGCCGGGCCGCGGTAGCCCGGCCCCCACGCCGGCTGAGTCTGGAGGTCACGTTATTGATTATGTTTCTTGAACTTTCTGCGAAACTATATACCTCAGTATTCCATCATGGTCTGAAAGTCGGAGAACTTGTGCGAGGCACGGGGCCTGGGCGGACACCGAAGAGGCCCGGAAAGAGAACCGCTCTCCTCGCCCCCCAGGAGGCGTCCAGGCCCCTCCTCCGAGGCCGCGGCCGCCCGCCCCCAGCGACACACACACCCCCGCCCCCCAACCCCGGGACGGCCGAGGCGCCGCCCCAGCACGGACCAGTGCGGGGCAGGGAGGGCGGAAGGGGGGCCGTTGCTGCGTCACCCCGAGGAGAACTCTTTTGAAATCTCCATTTTTGATCCCATCGAAATCACATGTGGTTTCCACAACAGCGAACCGAGTCATTTTGCAGGTTTACGTTGTATTCCCCTGTCCCTGCTCCTCCGTTCCCAGCTGTCTTCCCAGCACAGACCCCCTCTTCCACGTGACGTACTTGCTCTATTTGAATATGAACTTTTCTATGGTGGGACACTAAATATAAATATATATAAAGAAAGAATGTACGGTCAGTTCCCTATGGTTTCTGTAGGTTGTCCTCATCTTGTAAATTGCCCACACAGCAGTTAGTTCACGGCTGGAAGGAAGAGGGACGGGGCCCTTGGGGGGGTGGGGAAGATGGGCTCTGTGCCCCCCCCCCCCGAGCCCCATCAGTGAGCAGGTGCTACGGGGCCGCTGGGGGCTTACCCTGCCACTGGGCCTCAGGAGGCTAGGGGTGCGGGGGAGGGGGGGCGGACTGCCAGCCTCAGCCCGGGCACCTCCGTGGGCTTTAGCTTGGGGGTCACTGCTAAGTGTCGGCATCCACCTTCTGTGCCCTTGATAATCCGGAAACCTGGATGCGCTACTTATTTTGACAAACATTACTTTGGGTCTTTTTGAATTAAATTTCTTTTCTCTTAGGGAAAAAACAAAAACCCAGCGGCCTCCCAGCTCCCGGTAGGTGACAGTAGGAAGCTGTCCCTAGGCTGGCATTGGGCAAATTGTGGGTGTCCCGTGAGCTGGTCCCTGGGCTCTGGAATCTGTCCTGCCCACACCGTCCCGCCCAGGCCCAGGTGCCTGCTTTCCGTCATGAGGCATTGGGTCAACGGTTGGGAGAGGCAGAAACCATCCAGTGCCTGATCAGCTGGCGTGGAGGATTCTGGGCACAGCACAGGAGGCGTGTGCGTTAGGAAGCAGAGATCAGTATAACCACGAGCCAGTTTGGAACTAAGTCGTGACAGGAAGAGATACCCAGGAATGTCCCTGCAGAGCCCCCCTTGCCTTTGCAGTGGCCCCGCATGCCGTGACAGGGCAGTCCCCGGCCCCCTACGGAGTGGCCCTCCTGCACACGTGTGGTCTCAGAGAGGCTGGCCACCCCAGGCCACCCCCGGCTGCTGCGGAGTGGGACGTGCATCAGAAATGCACATCCTCAGGCCCCTTCGGGGAGGGCCCGGGGGGGGGGTCACAGAGTGAGAAGTGACCCCAGAAGATTCTGCGAAGTGCCACTCTGTTCCCTGCCCGTTTCTTCTAGGCAAGGGGACGCTATTGGTCTTTCTTCCTTCGCTGCAAAAGGCCCAGGTGTGTTTGCTCTAGGTCACAGGGATAGGGTGTAGAGGCATGGCTTGGGGACTGTCCTGCGGCTTCCCTTCTGCCCTCTTCCCAGCAACCGGATGTACCTTCAGTGGACAGGGAGGCCATAGCTGGATTACCTGTGCACGCCTGTGTCTTCAGAGGCTGGTCTTGACTACAGGGAGGCCTCGGGGAGAGGGCCAGGTACCTGTGCAAGGCTGTTGAATGCAGGTGGGGCAGGAGGAACCAGACTCAGCCCGAGCATCTGGGTCCCATCCTCAGACCCTGTCCCCTGTGAGCCCCTGCCGTTGTTTGCAAAAAATACCCCATGGTTAGCAAACACATTGGGCTTTGATGTAAAACAAATTCAAGTCAGGTTCTTGATGAGTCCTTCCCCTACACAACCCAGCCCCACCCAGAACTCTCACCGAGTTTGTACCATCGGGATGGGCCGACCCGGCCCCTTTTGGGGTCGCTCCCCGTCCCTGAGCTGGGGGGCGGGGGGCTGGCGGCCTCGGACGCCGCGTTGTGAGCAGAGGTGGGGCTGGGAGGGCTCCCTGGAGGTGAGCTATGTTTACAAGACGACAGTGTGCCAAAGTGACTTACTGCGGTTGCATTATTTCTTAGTCATCGGGATGACCCGCCCTCTCCCTCCTGTTTTTACAAGTACAGATTCTTTCCCGAGAGCCCTTTGAGCAAAGCGTGGCGAAGCTAGTTGTCCTCTGTGGTGGTCTTTCTTATGTCTTCATCAAAGCTAAAATGATGGTCTCTGTGAGTATGTTTTGCAAATTCAAAATATAGTTTGGTAATTTTTTTTCCAGTTGATTTTTAAAAAGAACTGCTGTACAGAGCTTGTACTTTGTCCATTTTATAGATGGAAACCATCCTTGAAAATTGTTTAACTTAAATAAAGAGAAGATACTTTATAGATAACGCTCTCCGGCGTGGCTGTGGTCGTTCTTGGTGCTTTCCCGGAGCGGGGACTAGCGTTGGAGGGCAGGGGAGACCGTCTGTCCTCTCTGGGGGCCCTGCTCAATGACCATTCCTTATCGCACTTTTATTTTTTTATCGCGCTTTTAAAAAACACTCTCTCTTTACTGCTCTGCCCTCGTGCTGTTTATTCTTATTTGTCACGCTAACCATTATCGTCTGTGGAGTGTCGATGATGTGCCAGGCACCGCACCAGGCCCTGGAATGCGTTCTCCTCGCCCGCTCGTGTTACCTGTGAGACAGTGTGATGGGCTGCCTTTCCCAGCTGGCCCGGGAGCCTGCCGCTTGAAGCCCTTCACCTCCTCAAGGTCAGGGGCTAACCTGCTCAAGGTCACGCCACTCCTGAGTGCTCACCTGGAGTCAGCCCTCACACTCAGCGCCTGCACCCCAAACCAGGGTGGGGGGAGGAGGCAAATATTTTCACAGCTTTTACGGTTTTTAAGATCCATATACTTGTTGGGGCGCCTGGGTGGCTCAGTTGGTTGGGCGACTGCCTTCGGCTCGGGTCATGATCCTGGAGTCCCGGGATCGAGTCCCGCTTCGGGCTCCCTGCTCGGCGGGGAGTCTGCTTCTCCCTCTGACCCTCCCCCCTCTCATGTGCTCTCTCTCCATTCTCACTCTCTCAAATAAATAAATAAAATCTTAAAAAAAAAAAAAGATCCATATACTTGTTTGCCAGTTATCGGGGGCTTCCCAGTGCCATCTGAGGCTGGCTGAGGTCCTTCCCCCTCGTCCTCAGCCTTTTAAAATGCCTGCCTTTGAAAAACCCCACAGGCGGATCAAGAAAACACTGCGGTGGCCCATTCCTTATTTGGCAGTTTGGATGGGGACTGGGTGCGGGGGGGGGGGGGGCAGGTGGTGGCACTGAAAACACTGGCCCAGACGAGGTGTTTTCATGTTCCAGAGACCACATTTCTGTGTGTCCTCCTGCCCCCATGATCTGAGACAACCAAAAACAAGGTTCTCCTGCCATGTGAGAAACAAAGAGAGCTCTTAGCATAATTGTGCAGTGTCCCTCAGAGTGCTTTAGGAATGGGGGGGGCGGGTCCTGTGGCGGGGCGTGGGGGGGAGTCCTGCTTTGGCATCAGGGAAAAGTTTATTTATTGAAAAACTCTGTGTGGTGTTCACCATCCTGAAGACCCAGCAGGGGAGGAAATGTTCAGCACCAAGCAAGAGGACAGGTGCTCTGCAGGCTCGAGTGGGGGCTTTGCAGAGACGCGACTGGGTAGTCGAGTCAGGTGTGGACTCCCAAATGCTCTGGAAGGAGTTTCAGCTAATAAAGGGGGAGTGGTGCTCTGTGAGCTCTGGACTGGAGCGGAGAGGATCAGATTTGCAACATTTTTTAGAGTAAAGTGTGTAACCTGACTCAGCTATTTGATTCTGCAGTACATTCCACACTTTTAAAACATATTCAGCCAGAAAAATAAAATCTCGTCTCATGCTCTGTTCTGTCCATGGACCTACCTAAAAGAAAAAAAGAAAATTCTCTTCTTAGACCAATTTACTACTATTCCTAACCAGTTTACTGATAATAATGTGTAGGTATTTGATTTTCTGTATTATGCGTGCTGCAAATGATATACATCGTTTCCAAAAAACAGTAGGGCCAGAGGGTCCCAAAGCAGTAACGAGAGATGGCTCAGCAGTCCCTGCCTGAGCCCCTGGGGGCCCAAACCCCGGCCTGGGGTGCCCGCAGTGGGACAGGGCTGCAAAATAGACCATCGTGGGCCTCACCCCACGTTACACCCGCGGGGGAGCCAGACTTTGAACCAGACCTTGAACGCAGTTATGAGAATAAAGACTGCCTCAAAAAAGGCGCAGGCCTCCTCGGTGCTGCGTGGAGAACCGTCTGGGGGAGGGGGTCACCATCCGAGGGCTGGCACGTGAGACCGCAGCGTGGCCAGTGCGGGCTCGCTGACAAACGCACAGCCCTGAGCTGTCATGTTGCTCGCGAACTGCAGAAGACTCTCTGGTGGAGCACTTGTGGAGTTGAGCGTGAGAAGTCTCGATTACGGGCGGTTTAAAATTAAAAGAGACATTTCCTGTCTTGTATAACAAGGAATCCAAAGGTGATAGGGTTCCAGGTCAATCCCGGGGCTTGACGGTGTCCGGGAACAAAACGAACGGCTTTCTGCCTGAGCACCCCCGCCTCCGCCCCTCCCAGCCGGGCTCCTGCTCCTCCTGGCTTTCTCCCCTCCCCCCTCCC